GGGTAGGGTGGCTGCTGGCAGCCCAGCCTGACCTACCTGCTGACCATTCTCATAACTTCAGTTGGGGTGGGGGGAGTTGGCCTTCCTCCTTTTGTGCCTGGGGCTGAGCCATCATCTGGGATTCCCCAGCCCCTTTCAGAGGCTGATAGTCCTCTTTGCCCCAGACCCCAGCCTCTGCTCAGGCCCTGGGATGAGCCCAACTGGCCACCAAGGGTGGAAGAGAACCCAGAAATCAGAAAGAAGAGGGTAGAATGCTGAGGGTCTTCTGAAATATTTTCCGGACCCTTCCTCAGACCTGGCCTGAAGTTACATGTCTGATCCCCACTGGGGTGTGGGGTTCTGCCTCAGTTTCCCAGCTGTCTTAGTTATCTAGTGCTGCTGTAACAGAAATACCACAAGTGGAAGGCTTTAACAAACATAAATTTATTTTCTCACAGTTTAGGAAGCTAGAAGTCCAAATTCAGGGTGCCAGCTCTAGGGGAAGTCTTTCTCTCTCTGTCGGCTCTGGAGGAATGTCCTTGTCTCTTCAGCTTCTGCTTTCTGGTTCCTTGGAGGTCTCCACGTGTCTTGGCATCTATTTTACCTCAGCTTTCTCTGCTCACTTATTTAATCTCTTTTATATCTCAAAAGAGATTGACTCAAGATACACCCTACACTAATCCTGCCTCATCAACATAACAAAGACAAGCCATTCCCAAATGGGATTATAACCACAGGCACAGAGGTTAGGATTTACAACACCTATTTTAGGGGGACATAATTCAATCCATAATACCATCTGTCTTAGTCATCTAGTGCTATTCTAACAGGATACCATGAGTGGATGGCTTTACAAAGAGAAGTTTATTCTCTCATAGTCCAGGAGGCTACAAGCCCAAACTCAGGGCATCAGCTCCAGGGGAACGCTTTCTCCGTCGGCTCTGGAGGAAGGTCCGTCGTCAATCTTCCCTTGGTCTGGGAGCTTCTCTGCACAGGACCCTCAGGTCAGAGGACGTGCTCTGCTCCCAGCACTGTTTTCTTGGTGGTATGAGGTTCCTAATTCTCTGTTTGCTTCCCTTTCCTCCTCTTGTAAGGTAAAAGGTGGTGCAGGCCATACCCTAGGGAAACTCCCTTTACATTGGATCAGGGATGTGATCTGGCTGAGGGTGGTGTTAAAATCCTACACTAATCCTCTTTAACATAAAATTACAGTCATAAAATGGAGGCCAACTACACAATTCTGGGAATCATGGCCCAGCCAAATTGATACACACATTTTTTGGGGGGACATAATTCAAACCATGACACCAGGTATTGTGGCTTCCAGCCCTCATCTCAAATGGCTGTCTTCAGCGGAGCATACTAGCAGTGGGAGTCCGGCCAGGTCAGCGCTGAACTTCCTCGACCTCTGGAGCCACCAGCAGCACATTCAGGAGCTCAGCAGTGGAGGCCAGATCCGGCCTCCTGCCTCCCTGCCCCTGACCTTAAAGTGGGCCAGAGCGAACCAGAGCCAGCACCATGATCAAATAAGCAGGCTGGTTGCTTCCCTCCTTCTGCTGGCCTGGTGTTGGGTGTGACCGCAGCACCTCTGATCAGGGCTGGGAGAGAGACCCTGCCCTTCCTACACAGTGGTTGAGGGAGGGAGGCTCTGGGATGGTGGTACTGATGGGCCAGCTATGGCCCAGGGCCCTCTGGGTGTCCCTGCTCAGCTCTGCCTGATCTTACACCTCAGCACACAGGGAACACACGGCAGGAGCTGCCCACCTCCGACACCCCGACACCCTCACCAGAGGATTCCGGAACAAGCCGAGGCAAGGCAGGTGTCATAAGGAGTGAGACGCAGACAGTTGTAGGGGTCATTCACGTCCTCCCCCTGCCTCTGGCTGGGGTCTAGGTGTCGGGGTCCTCGGGGGCCATCTGCCTCTGTGCCCGGCTCTCCGGGTGCATGGCCAGAGAAGCAGCTTCTGCCTGACCATTGGGTCATGCCTGTCAGGAGAAACCTCTCTGGGGTCAAGAGGTGACTGACAGCAGTGTTGGGAGTCTGGTTATCTTGTTATGGTCTGGCAGTCCTGTTGCCAGTGCCAGGGTCTGCGCACCTTTCTGAGAACCAGTGAGGAGGCGTTAGCGTGATGATTTGTTTTCACCTGTGGATTCTTGTAGTTAACAGGTAGCCTGTGGGGCTGGAGACTGAACTTGCTATACTGTGGCTCAGAGAAATCTGTGATCTTTGCTTGGTGAGGAAAAAACAGATTGCTCTGTGCCATTTTCTCTACCTTATACTGCCCCTTCCTACCACCCCTACCACCAGCCAGGCTGCTCCTTCTTCCCTGTTCTCACACTGGCCCGTCTCTCATTTTACAAAGTCACGTTACGTTAGAATTGGAAAGGACCTTATTTTTCTCAACATGGTATTTTCCCCTTGGTTATAAAAAAGAAAGAAAAGAAAAGAACATTTGGGAGGTAGGGGAAAATAGAAAGGAGAGACTAAATATCCCTCTAGTCTCAGCCCTCAGAGGAAATAAGAGTTACTATTTCTACTTCCCTCCAGTCTTTCCTTCAGACTTGTTTTTTCATTGTGGAGATCTTACCGCACGTATAATTTTGTAACCTGTTTTTAAATTTTTGAAGTTATATATCCTGGGCCTCTAATATCATGGCCCATCCTGAGCCTCCAAACAGTGGAGAGCCCTAGTGGTGGGCCCTTCCTGGGCTTCATGCTGGGCTGTACCCGAGACTCGCCCTGGTGGCTCCAGTGGGTGGCAGGGCCCAGTGATGCCCACGAGGGGTTTGACCAAGGAGAAGGGACACACGTCACAGGCCGGAACCACAGGGTTTGGAGAAAACTGAGAACTCTCACCCTGACCCCAGGCCCACGGCATCTTAAGACCCCTGGGGGTTCCAAGGGCCAATGCCTTGTCTCAGCTCCCTGACTTGGAAAAGGGGGTGGTGCGCTGCCCTTGCTGCCCTACAGAGCACTGGAAAATATGGATAAGAGCGCCTTTGTCAAAGCACGTTGAAAGCTAGAAGCCTTGTTCCCTTAGGGGGCTGTTTATTAAAGCCTTTGATGCTGCTGACCCTGAACTGGATGTGGGCTCCAGCCAGAAAGCACTAACCCGTAACTGCTGGGAGCTCTGCCTGGTCACACAGAAAAGCAGGCTCAAGGCTGCTGAAAAACGAACCAATATCCCAGCTCTGCCAGCTCAGAGCAGATGGCATGAAAGGTGGAAAAGAGGGAAAGGAAGGAGGTGGTAATAAGACTGGATTGCGAAGCATCCCTGTGCTGCCTCTGCCTTGCTGTGTGCTTTTGGGAGGGTCTCTTAACCTCTCTGTGCCTCAATGGCTCCATCAGTACAATGGGAATCTCCCCTCCCTTCTCCTGGGGCTCATAAGAAGAGCCCTAGATTCTAAAAAAAAAAAAAAATTAGTTGCTATCAAGTTGATTCCAACTCATGGTGACCCCATGCGTGGCAGAGTAGAATCATGTTCCACAGGGCTTTCAATGGCTGATGTTTTGGAAGTAGGTCACCAGGCCTTTCTTCTGAGGTAACTCTGGGTGGACTCGAACCTGAAACCTTTCAGTTAGCAGCTGAGTGTGTTAACTGTTTGTACCTCCCAGGGACTCCTTCCTAGCTCTCAGTGCCCTTTGAGTCTGCAAACCCTTCCGGGGCCAGGATGCCAAGCATCACCTCTCACCCTGACTCTTCCTCACCCCATATCCAGCAGGGAGTCCTGTCAGCACTGCCTCCAAAACATCCAGCAAATCCAACCCTTTCTGCCCAGGCCCACTGCCTGCACCCTGGCCAAGCTATCATCACCCCTTCCCTGGATGACCACTGCAGCCACCTATTGGTCTCCCCGCTTGGCCCCTGGCCTCCCTACTGTCCACTCAGCAGCCAGAACCATCCTTAAAAACATCACATCACTCCCTTGCGTAAAACTCTCCAAAGGCTTCCTACTGCCTTCCGAAAAACATTCGAGCTCTAAAACCATCACCCACGATGACCTAGGTGGTCTACCTGGCCTCTCCCCGTCTCTCCCCATCACTCACCTGCTTCAGGCAAGTGGCCTCCACACTGTTCTGCAAACTTGCTGAGCTCATTCCTGCCCCAGAGCCTTTGCTCCTGCGGTTCCTCGGCCTGTGTTCCTCTGAGCCTTTTCATTATTAAAGCCTCCAATAAGATGCCACCTCCTTCTCAGCTATGTCACCACCCTCTTAAGTGCTGTCCCTACCCACCTCCACCCACAGGCACTCTCATAGCACCTGTTGCATGTTCTTATTAACTGATTTGCTTGTTTAGTGCCCGTCTTCCCCAGAAGAATGGAAGCTCCCTGAGGGGTTATCTATCTTGCTCACCGCAGCACCCGCAGTTTACAACCCAGGGCACACACTGTGCATGCTTAGTAAGCACGTGGCTGATAAATGAAACCCCAGGCCCACCTGGTTCCGGAAGATCAAGGCCACCACACCACCAGTGAGCTCAATGATGAGGCAGATCCCAAGAATATACATGAACTAAAAAACAAGATTTAGAGATTCAGTCAGAGAGAGGTGGAGGACATATGCGAGGTCAGGGGAAGTGGCGTTTGCTCTGAGGTCTGAGCGCACATTAGTCATGGGCAGAATCATCTGTCTGAGCTCTTATTGGTTCCTGGGCCTTTGTCCCCCTCCCCCCTCCTGTGAGAACACAGGACATGGACAAATATTCCCTGGAAAAGCCCAACTGTGGTGTTCATGGTCAGGAAGAGTGACTCAGCGTCTCAGCCAGATTGTTGTCAGCGTTTATCCCAGGGGTCCTCAGCAGGTCCAGGTGGGAAAGCACCTGGCTGTCCCCACGGGGAGAACCTTGCCTCGCTCCAGCTGGGCCAAGACGTCAGAGCCAGCGTGATGGGCGGCCTGGGACAGCAATGCCAGCTGGTCATGCAGGGACCCCCCAAGTGGAGCCGGTGATGGGTGTCTGAGGCTCCAAGGATACCACATCTCCCTACCCGTTATTAGAGAACAGGCACTGTCCAGACTGACTCCCGCAACTTCCAGCCTCAGGCAGCACTAAGACACTGCTTAAAGGGGCTTCCCGTCTGAGGGGAGACATGAAGCCAAGACAGACACATTGGTGTAGAGTAAAATAGATCCTGGCTTTGGGGAACCATCCCTCGCCCCACAGTAAACGGGTGAGGGTAGGGCTGACTCCACCCCCTGACAGGGGGGTGAGCACATGGCCCAAGCCAGTCCATCAGAGCCTGCATTTTTGGCCAGAGTTACCAGGAAAGATTCCCTGGGGTCAAGAGCTATAAGGACTGTTGGCTGGAAGATGACACCGGGCGCCAGGCGGAAGCAGAGAAAGACCCAACGAGCCTGAACCCCTGGGCCCTGCTGTGGGTTTGCTAGTTACATGAGCTAATGAACTCATTATCATCTTCCTGGGAGGGCAAGAGAAAGACCCAGCGCACCTGAACCCCTGGGCCCTGCTGTGGGTTTGCTACTTACATGAGCTAATGAACCCATCACCCTCTTCCTTTTTTGTCTTTGCTTGCTTTCATTTGAATTTCAGTTCTCTCTCTTGGAACTGAGAGTTCAGATGAACAAAGGTTTAAGTAAATGAGCAGAATGATATTTTCAAAAATGGCAGTGGCCTGGGCACTCTTGGGCCAACATGAACAGATGGGCTGATCCAGGAAACCCTCTGCAGGAGCTGGCTTGAGACTCTGCCTGAAGGAACTGAGCTGCCCCCAGGGCCTGGGCGCAGTCTACCCAGCTCTCCTGGGGACTGCAGCCCCCACCCCGCCCTGGCTGAGGGTGGCTGGAGCTGACTCACCGACTGCAGAAGGCACAGGTTGTCTCGGAGGGAAGCCAGCACACCAATGAAGGAGACGATGAACATGACAACCCCCAGGAGGATGAGGATGATGGCCGGGGCTAGAAAGGCACTCTCAAGGGTTTTGTATTTCTGTCGCTCGACTTCTGCGTAGATCCCCACAGACAGGACCAGGGCCCCGATCAGCTGCAGCAAGAAAGCAGGAAGTGAGAGCAGAGAAAAACTGATGGTCACTTGATTTTCCTCCAAATAGTTCATCTGGGGCTGTCGTGCCTGCTGTCAGGGGTTTCCCTCCATCAGGTGCCTGCACAAGAGTGGACCTTATTTGGAGACACCCCTTTAGGAGAGGATACTGGTGGGTCAGAGGAAATGCCACAGCCTAGAGAGTCAGGGAGCCTGGGTTGGAGTCTCAGCTTTGCTGCTTGCTGACCCTGGGCCTCAGACGGGCATTTGATCACACTGAGTCTGTGTTCCCATCTGAAAAATGGGTACAAAGACACTCATTTCTGCCCTGCTTGCCCACAGTTTTTTGTGAGGCTTCACTGAGATCACAAGGTGGAAACACTGCAAACACGGAAAGCACCGAGCCGTGGGTGAGCACTAAGCAAGCAGGGCACGCAAGGGAAGTCCAGAACTGCTCAGGGGACCAGCACTTTACCCAGCACCAAGAAAACAGGGCTCTCTTTCAGGGTGACCACTTGGAGGCTCAAGGTTGAGGTGGGAGGAATTTTGGGGGGATTTTTAAGTAAAATCTCTCATTATGAATTTTTCTAAGAATGGAAAGCTGACCACTGTAGCACCCTATCGGGAAAACCCAGGTGGTAAAGCCCCACCCGCAGCACCATGCACTTGGAGGACCCCTTTTCTCTCTTGGCCTGAAAAGTCTTGTACTAAATCCTCAGGAAGGTTTGTCACCTGATGCCCCCACCCCCCAGCCCTCAGACAAGGCTGGGCCACACTGCCACATCTCCCCTGGATCCCTCAATAGCCTCCCAACCAGCCCCCTCAGCCCGTTCCCCACACAGTGGCCAGAGAGACCCAGTAAAACCTAAGTCAGAGCAGCTCGTGACTCTGTGCACCTAGAATAAAGGCCCAAATCCTAGTAACAGTCTGAAACTTCCTACGAGATCTGCCCCCCCCCCATAGCCTGTCTGATCTCACTTCTGGCTCCCTCCTCTTCTTCACTCTGCTTTCTCTGCACTGGCCGCCTTGCTGCTCCTTGAGCACACCAAGGGTGCCCACCACAGGGCCTTTGCACTGGCTGTTCCCACTGCCTTGAATGTTCTTCCTCCTCACACCCACATGGCTCACTCCCTCACCTCCTTCCTCTCTGCTCAATTGTCACCTGCTCAGTGAGGCCTTACTTAAAAGTGGAAACTCCCTCTCCGTGAAACTCCTCATCCAATTTCCCCGTTTTATTTTCTGTGCACTTATCCATATTTAACATATCACATATTTTCTTTTATTTTTAAATTGTTTGCCTTCACTGACGAACATAAGCTCCACGTCGGCACAGGTTTTCGGCGTTGGGGGCACCCACTGTGCCCAGAGCATCCTGACAGGGAGGAAGCATGATCAACGTCTGCAACCAACGTTGCTAACTGAAGGAGAACAGGGCTTTCCAATAGATGCCCATGGGCTTGAGTCAGACGTGTCCACCAGTTTCCTACCTGTCCAAGGATTCTGACGAGTCATTAGATTAAGTACACTGGACCTCTCCACGGAGCCGAAGGCAGCACAGGAGAGTAAACAACAGTCACAGTGCTGTCAGCTCAGGTCCCAGTAAACGAAATGCGGATAATACAGACCAGACGCTAGGAAGATAGGAGTCCCTGGATGGTGCAGTTAATGTGCTCACCTGCTAACCTAAAGTTTGGAATTTTGAGAACACCCAGAGGAACCTCAGAAGAAAGACCTGGCAATCTACTTCCAAAAAATCAGCCATTAGAAACCCTATGGAGCACAGTTCTACTCTGACACACATAGGGTCTCCATGAGCTGGAATCGACTCAATGGCAACTGGTAGGGGCAGTGGTTGGGAAGATATGCTATTAGCGTGGCTACCCAAGGCTCCCCCTTCAGTTACTGTCTACCTGGCCAGTGTCCTCAAAGTAGCTCTCCTCACCCCCCTTCTAAAGAGCACCAAGAATGTCACGGGTACAGGGGACTGCCTGCTTCCCCCGAAGCTTTAACAAGTCAAGCAAACAGGCCTAACTTCATAGAAGCACTCAATACCCAGAAGATTACCAGCAAGCCATCCTCGTTTGGGTCCAGAACTCTGCTGTATTTCACATCTAAGGGACGTTCTCTGGGGTTGAAAAGATGATCTGGGATTCCTGAGATGCACTGCTCCCATCTAAAAGGAATGCTTTCCCAATACACATGGGTCAGAGGTGCTAAAGGCATTGACAAACTCTGCACTTGACAATAAGCTGGCCATATCAGAAAAACTTCGAGCACAGTGACTTCATCAAAATTATCCACTTTGGGTAAATTTTAAAATTTATAAGGCAGGACACACACACATACATACACACATACCTCTACAGGAAAATGGTAATACCACAGGAGATAAAATCCACCTCTGATAGAGAAAGATTAACCAGGGCCTGTCTAATCAGTTCATGCTCCAAAACCCAGAACATGGTGAAATCATTGTTCAAGGCCAGCCTAATTCCCTTGTGTCTTCTGAGAACAAGGATGAGCAGCCTTTAAAAAGCCAGCCCCCTCCTTGAATTACTCCACCTAAAAGGAGTTGCTCACTAAACCCTAATCCTGAACCAGACACAAGGCCCAGAAATCCCTCCACCCCAAGGCTGAGGATCATGGGTAAATAAAAACCCCACAGAACTGAAGCCTTCAGAACCCAGGCATAGAGTGAACAAAACATTTGGAGAAGGGCACGATGTACTTGAGGGTGGTAGAGATGGGTTTCTACCTTCTATCTTGATGAAAAGTGTAATTCTTACCCTGTCACGTGACCAACAGAACTATGACATCTTACTATTTCCAGAAGTGATTCCATATTCTTTGGAGAGTCCTATGTTCCCTGTGTTGTCTGCAGGAGGGGCATGGGCCCTGACCTCTTCCCCCAAGAGCCTGCCCCCATCCCTCCTCCCTGCCTGAGGTTATGCTTCTGGATTAAGGCACCGTGCTTGGCAAACCATCCCCAAAACACAGCACTGTCAGCAGCCCCAATTCTGAGCAGAACTGACCCCAGCCCAACCCAGCCCTCTCCATAAAGGCAGCAGCAGCTTCTATTTTTACAAGCTCCTCAGAGGACATCCGAGCGCGGGACCACTCCAGAGCAGCCTTGCCGGCAGGAAACAAAACTTCCTTTAATCTGATCTCACTCCCTCCTGCTGCAAAGCATCACCTTTTCCTTGCTGGTTATCCCTGAGACATTTCCAGACCACTAAAAGCATGGGAAAAACTCTTGTGGCAAATGCAGACCCGGGCCTCCCAACACCTCCCCCGCCACCCACCCCCCTCACCACGGAGCTGTCACTGGCCCATTCCTTCCAATTCATCTGAAGGTGCCGTCACTCCAAGCGGCCTGGCAGGCATCCCCGGAGGCGGGTCCCCACACTGCATGGCCAATCTGGGTTCTTCATGCTCTGAGGGACAGTGGGAATGGGGAGAGGCTGGCATAGCCCTTCCCAGGAACATCAACATTTCCAAATGATATTTACACTTCCGATAACATCAGTTTATGTTTCCATCTGAGTAAAAAATCGTCTGTCGATGCTAGCGTGCATTCCGCCCGCTCTTCTCTGCTAATTATAGGCTTCGCCAGGTGGCCAGCCACTCCACCTCCAGCTCGGGAGGCAAATGGTCCATCTGTCAAGCAGGACAGTTTCTGAGAAACAGAGCTGGGAGCAAGGGACCAAGCCCATTTGGGGCCAAAAAGGGAAAGAACATGCTGCCAGTAGCCCATGGGCTTTGTGGATGATGTGGCATCATCATCCGAGACCACCCAGCAGCCCTGTTGCCGAGCCCAAGCCCGGCAGCCTTGAACCCAGCTTCCTCTTCCTAGGGAGAGGCCCAGCTTCAAGCTCAGCTGGGAAGCAGAAGGCCCTGGGAGCAGCAGTTACGTCCTTTCCTTCAGGAAGCACCTGGTGGCTGGGGCAAGTCTGCATTTAGAGGACTTGTAAAGGGCCTGTTTTCACCCTGAAAGGCACATAAACCTGTTGCGTCAAGTCAATTCCAACTCAAAAGCGACCCTAGAGGACAGAGTAGAACTGCCCCACAGGGTTTCCAAGGAGCAGCGGGTGGATTTGAGTTGGCGACTTTTGGTTAGCAGTGGTAGCAGGCCGTAGCTCTCAACCACTGCACCACCAGGGCACATACCAGTCACCTATTATGTTCCACAGGAGACCTGGAGACACAATGGGTAAGCACTCGGCTACTAACCGGAAGGTTGGCGGTTCTAACCCACCAGCCACTCATTGGGAGAAAGATGTGGCAGTTTGCTTCCGTAAAGATTACAGCCTTGGAAACCCTATAGTGCAATTCTACTCTGTCCTATAGGGTCACTATGAGTCAGAATCGACTCAAGGGCAATGGGTTTGGTTTGGTTTGGTTACTATGTTCCAGGCTCAGAATCAGGCTCCATGGGATCACAACAAAAGGCTAGATATGGCTGAGGGGAGATTAAAGGAGGCTGGAAATGACCTCTGCAGCCCCATGGATGGGATTCAGCAGGCCTGTGAACTGGGATGGGGAAAAAAAAGTCACATCTTTATTTGCATTTGCCTCTAACTGACGTGTAGCCCTTCCTTCCTTTCTGAATATAGGGAACAAACAACAGTAGCGTTAACAGCACCTGTGACTTTATTGCCCATAGAAATGATATTACAGTTATTGCAAATACCTTCAAATATCATTTATGTTCATCATGACTTCAAAATTACAGTAGTTATTAGACCCGCTGCTAGATCTTGTGATTTAATGCATTGATAAAGAAGTACATTATTACTATATCACAAATTTGGTTTTGTAATATTAATATATCTCAATACAATTGGTTTCTTTTGTAATTGTGTATGTATTTCATCTTATGCATTTAAATATCTTGCTTTAAGGAGGAGTCCACAGGTTTCCCTAGAGAGCCAAAGGGGTCCTTGGCCCAAAAATGGTGAACATCCCCTGGGCCGTGGGAAGCAAGATGCAATTCCTGTCATGGA